ATTTTGTATAAGTATAGTGTATAAATAGATTCCTTTGATATATATAAGAAAAAGTACATATCAATTTTGATTCTAAAAAAAATTAAAGTTCAAATCTTAAGCAACGTCATTTTATTTAATTAAATTTAATTTAAAATTTAAAAATTTATCCTATTAAATGTTGATATTTGAATTTAAAAATGATTATATTAGAATATATAATTGGTTTTGAAATTTAGTTATTAATATTTAATAAAGTAAAATTTTAAATTTTAAATTAAAATTTCAGTTTCTTAATATAAAAATTAAAACTTTAATTTTTAAAAAATTAGAACTGAAACATAATATTATATATATAGTATATTGTATATTATATATAAAATTGATGGTTTTTATTATATAAGTTTGTAGGTAATGGAGAATTTAGATGGCCCTTGTTGAGTAGATAATGCAAACATCAACGCTGCATTTAAATAGTGGAAAGTACTTTTGAACTTATAAAAAGAGGGTAGCAAGCTCCTCCATCAAAAAATCAATTTAAAACATCTCTTTTTAATTTTATTTTTTTGAAGATCTTGCCTTCTTTGATTCTTTTCCCTTGATTATGGTCGTGTAATTATGATTTCATTCATACATCTTATAATGATATTGATGTCAACTTTTCTTGACTGGTTTTTCAAAATCATGATTGGGTCAATGTGTGGGTTATCAGCTCGAGAAAATCATCAAAAAGATTAGAAATAACCTTGTAATCATGATTCGTACAATATCTTTAATGAGCGCTCAAATAAACTAAAATCCTATACTATAGGGCTATAACTCATATTTGATCTTAAATTATATGTAATATTATAAATTTATAATATAACATATTATTAAATAAATAATTTTTTATTTAAAATGTTATTTATAATATCTATATATTTATTTTTGTATGACATGTTATATTTATTTAATAATATATTACAATTATAAACTTATGATTATACATACCATTATAACCATAATATTACTAACATTTGATTAAGATTAATGGATATTTTTTGATATAATTATTAGGCAAAATTATAATTGTTATTGCAAAAAGTTTCCTTAACATATGGCAAGTGGTACAACATGTCATTTGTTTTGTTCAAAACAAGAAAAATTTTTCTTGACAACTCTTCTTTTCAAACATGAAACTCAGTTATAAACTGATAAAAATATGTCATAAATTGCATCTTAATAATCAAACAATTGACATAAACAAATGATAATCTTCCTGCACTAAATGGGTTAAATGACATGCACTAAATGGATTAAATGACAAAATGCGTTAGATATGTCTCTAAGGACTTCTTCAAACAAATGTAGTTAGAAAAAAGTAAGACTACAAACAAAGTAAATGATCCCTAAACTACTAAAAATCTAAATAAGTTTTAAATGTGTAGGTTGAGTTAAAATAAAATTTTTGAACGGAAACCTAAATAATGAAAAGCAAACTAAATTAAAGTAAATGAAGTTAGAAATATAAAAAGTCTACTAGTATCATGAAATATAAATCAATAGAAACAAAACAAAATATAAAATTAAATATCAATATGCTTGAGTAATTAAAAAGTACTCAGGAAAACAATAAAAGAAAGGAAGCAATTTAATTACAAAGAACCATCACTAAAGGAAACAAATTTTACTATTACAAAAACAACAAAAAAGGAATTAAATTCCTTCATCAAAAAACTATAACTAAGTTATGAGATTTCTAAAGGAAAAGATATTAAAGTAAGATTGAAGGCTAATGTAGACTAAAACATAGAACTAAAACTAAACTAAATGGCTTGAAACTAAGATAAACTTAAGCACTAAAAGAAATATTTTTGAGTTCATTGTATGAGAAGCAGACTTATCTTACTTGATTTCATTTTCATGTGTTTATAGCCGTAAACACCCTTTATTAGCATGCTGGAGATCTACAACAACATAAAATCTACCACAAATCAACTTACTTGTTGGTACTGTTGATCACGTTCCTAAGAATTCGCAACAATCAAACGACTTTGTTGATGATATGAAAACAACACTAAGCTTTATCTTAGAAAAATCTGCATTAATAAAATGATTCTTTAACAAATAAAATATCTATCAAAATAAATAATACATGACACTATCTTATTTATTGTAAAATTGAGTGGAAACAATATTTTATGTTTATCTAGTAAAAAAAATTTATTAAAGAAATTAGAAATATCAATTATTCTTGGATTGAAAATGACTGTTGATATTTTTTTAATTTTTTTTATTTTATTACTCTCTTTTTTTTTTAGTTATCTTAATTAGTTCCTAAATATTATGTAAATCAATTTGATAATTTTATATAATAAATTAATGACAATTGAATTTTTTTATTTAAGTGAAAATACCTAACAACAGCTATATACGGAAAGAAATTTTTTTTAATTATTATCTATTTAGGAGTATTATATGAAATTATTTGATTAAAATTCATAAAAATGTCAAATTAAGACAACTGAATTCAAGCCGATAGAGTATATATTACAAAAAATTTGTGAATAATTTATATTTATACATATTTTATTTTTAAAAAATAAGACAAGGTAGATAATTAAAATCAAACAATAAAATTATATAATAGTTGTTTTAGCGTTCTAGAAAACCAAACACAGTCCAATTTTGGGAAAAAAAGTCCACTGAAATTTTAATTTTAGGGGAAAAGTATTCTATAGGTTACCCTTCTAAAGTGTCTTTGAAAGACATGTCCAAAAACTCTTTTAATTAATATTTTTAAAACTTAACTGTTTAATTGAAAATTCTAATTATATAAATTATGCATAACTGTTTTCAAATTATTTTAATAGGTTTAACCATTTTGTTAATCATAAGAAATTTAACATAATTATATGTATGTAAATAGAGACTCTTTAATGAAAAAATTATAAATATTAAATTAATATAAAAATTAACCTTTATAATCTATATTACTAGAATTTTTAATCTAGATTAGTTTCTATGCCCTACCCTATCCTCTAAACTCAAACACCCTTCAAAAAAACTTACATTCAGTGCGAGCTATAGAGATTCATTACTAATTTTTTTTTCCTAATCAACAAAAAGGAGATAAATATAAATATAAGGAGTAATTTAATTCGTTATAAGTTACAATCAAGAATAAAGAACAAAAGCATATGGAAACCTCACATCATCAAATGATTCTTCCAAACTTAAGCATATACTATTCCAGACCCAAAAGAATTCAAGTATTTCCGCAGGGATTCATTGTAGAAGGTTTTGCCTAATCTTATAGCTCGTATATTCTTATTAACAATTCATTTCCATTTTTTGTTCTTGTTTTGGGTTCTTGATTGTTGACTTGACTCAAATATTACATGCAAAGGGAAATTCATGCATGGAGTGAAAAGAAAAAATAGACAGTCCCACTATTTTTGTGGCCTTTCCGAGATTGATTGATTGCAATTGCACCTTTTTCATACATTTGATTGTATTAGGAAATCTTAGGGCTAATCCCAAACATTTTGATGTGAATTATTGAGTTAGGAAAGGATATGTCTGTGGTGTCAAGAAATCATCAGGAATTGACACCACATTGTTCTATGGTCTACCCATGTCACCTTGTGATCCTGAATTGTCTCAAATCAAATTCGATTGCCCCAAGTGTTTGTAGACACTTTTGCCGGACAGCTATCATAAAAAAGATTGGCTTGCTCCCATAGTGTGGGGACTGTCAGCACTAAATCATATGTTCAATTGTTACCAGTTTCTGACATTGCTGGTATTGTCTGCCAGACGATTAAGAAAGAAACTTACCATCCATCAAGCCCAACCTAACTAGACAACAGACATTCATTAGTCCATCCGAATGTTTATGAAATTGGCAGAAACCTATCACACAAATGCACATGGAAAATATGTTGAATTTGCTTCTACAAAACTTCGATACCATTTCGGACAACATTTTCAGATTCATATCACAGCCAGAAGAAATACTGTCATTATGTATCACCATTAAATACATATATGGAGTTGAGTTGATATTTGTGATGATAAAAAAGAGCAAGATCCTTCTTTTCTACTATATTAGTCCCCGCAATGAGGTATTGGGGCGGCATGACTTCATGACTTGAGCTTCAAAACTGCATCTGAGGATCACACTGATGGAAAGAACTTGTTGAGGTTGAAGGGCAGGGAGTAGAATTCCTCACTTCTTGTGTCGGTTTTGAATGACCGGAACCTGTCCCACCAGTGCATGCCACGATCCTTCCTTGCGGCATTGTTCTTCTGACGCAGACTGACATCGAGAAAAAATGCCAACACGCCAGCAACAAATGCTTCGGAGGAGAAAGGAACATTGATCATATCATTGAACTGCAACAGAAGACTTGGGAATTAAGAAAACTCCATGGGATAGAACGTTTGAAACCAAGTTGTAAAAAGTTGGCTTAGGATGGAAGAAAAGGGAAAGAATGGTTACCCATCTTGCACCGGTATGGACTGGACCATAGCCCTTGACAGCTGTGTACTCATTGAAGTATTGTGGTATAGATAAGCCCATGAAAATAGAGAAACCCATTATGAACTTTGTTCGGAAGCTGTTTAAATTGCAGAACTGAAGCAAACTCAGCCCTGCTGAACCTGTAAATGCAATTGGACAAAAGGACTGAATCACATTGCTCAAATGGAATAGCATATAGATTGCCTCATAGGCAATAATGAGACTTACCCACATAAGCAAAGAAAAGACAGTACAGAGCTGCAACAATTGGAGCTGGAATTGAAGCAAAAACAGCTCCAAATTTCCCTGATAATAAATGGACATTAACACATTTGAGAGAGAAAAGGTGGGGAGAGATTCAACATGAATTATCACTAACCAAGAATGGAGAAGAAGATCATGAACCCAGCAGATATCTGGACAACCCTTCGACTGCCAACGCGTGTCAATGCTAACAGCCCAGCATTCTCCCTGCACCATACCCACAGTTTTTCCATGACATTCTTGACAGGGTAAAAAGGGTTGTATGTGTAAACAATCAAAGTTCATCAGGAGTTGACAAATTAATGTTCTTTCTTGAATTTGAGAAATTTATAAAAGAGTCTTACACAGAGACCGATGATCCAATGCCAGTCCCAAATATTCCTGATAAGAGAATGCCAACTCCCTAACATTGAAACAAAGTAATACAATTAAAAGGAAACAAAAAGCAATGCACAATAGCTGCAGTGACTGACAAGATTTGTTCATTTCACTTATAAGTAAAATTTCCTCTATTCACTTTAGTCAAACATGAATATAGGGAGTCTCACAATCATAAAACATTTACCTGCCAACCAACACCACGGCTGAGAATAGAAGGCGGAAGGGGTGTTGCACTTGCATACCTTGACACAGCAATGAAGGCACCTGTGGACTGTTTAAACAATAAGTACATTAGAGCAGAGAACTCGTCAGAGTCAAAACATTAGTATAATTAAGTGGCTAAGAAATGAATAGAACAGTCTTCCAAATCTAGCATAACTAAAGTATCACATTTCCAGTTTTACTGGAGGTAGTCATCCCATGTCCTTTCCATGATTCTGAGTTATCTTGGTGAGCCTTTTCAGGTTCTTAACTCACATTATCAGCAAAAATATAAACACAGATATTAACATTATAAGCACAAGCTTAGCAAACCTCAACGAGAGCAACAAAAGAGGCAGCCATCATTGCAAAACACTCTCCAGCATCAAATGTTGGTGCTCCCCATTGAAAAGGATATGGAACTCTTATCCTGTCCGGAGTGTTGGAAGGCAATAATTAAAAATAATCAATCAAGATGTCTTGTTAATCTTGTTTTCATGGTAAAACAGAGAAGTACAAAATAATAACAGTTAGAAACTTAAAATGTACAATGTAAGTAAGACCATGTTTTCTTTGAGAAGGAAAAACAAAAGAACCTTACCAGGGAGCAGCACTTATGATACCAGCACGATCAGTTCTACAGCTTATCTGAGTTTTAGGTCCTGTGTTCTTATATGCTCCACTGACAGTAAGCAGGTGAGCATAAATCCACACAATCACCACCGAGAATATAACAGCAAAACGATCAAATACATGCCTCTCCCAATTTATAAGAGTAGGTATATACTGCAAAAAGTTACCAATGTTGTTTTAAACTATTTATTTCTTAAAGTTTTCATACCAGTAGGTCAATGTTTGACCTCCTCTTTAAATTTTAAAATGTGATTCATGCTGCAACAAGAAAGAGGGGGGGATGGGCATATGGCAATAGAAGGTATGATTACCTGTGAAAAAATGAGCAAAAGGATGATTTGTGGCAGCCCAATCTCTATGCATTTTGCAAGCTGCAAATAAATCTAGTCAATAAACTTTACTAGAAAATATAGGAAGAAAGATAATAGGTAAGGAAGAGAAGCAATGTTTTTACTTAATTTCTTGATCCCAGAATATTATTAATACATACCACAGGAAAACCAAGTTCATAGAGCCCAAAGCCAGATAGAGCAACCAACGGAACAGCAGACAGTGGACTTAAGAACCTGGAGAAGAATTGCAAAGACGTAAAACTGATCAACACTCAAGATGTGTTTTTGAGAGGACTATGCATGTGACCTTTTTCCAATCAAACAATCATTTTGACAGGTTATGCAATACTGTTCGTTAGTAATTGGACGTACCAAGCAGTTCAACATGACAAAACTGTCTTAAAACTTGAGAGCTCAAAACCATTTTTGAAGAGTAATAACAAGCAAAAGACAATAAATAAAAACCATTTATCAAGCTCTATGACAAGGTTATGAAAAGGTTTTGAGTTTTGACCTACCTTGCAACATTACGCCAAAGGCCACTAAAGCCAAGGACAATTTGAAGTGTTGAGGCAACAATCAGTGGACCCTGGGTCCCTCGAATTATTTTCTCAAATCTCTGCACTCATTAAAGAAGCAAGTGAATTTGGGAATTTAAAACAGATAAACCATGTAAAAGAAATTACGTAAATCTGGCAGGTGTAGTGAAGCAAACCTCCCGAGGATCAGCAATATCACTGTATCGAGCTGCCATGATGATTGAAATGGTTGTTGGCACATAGGTATATGAACCTCCAATTACCGCAGGCAGACGGGTGCCAAACATTGTTTGAAAGAAAGTGTTTAATCCAGCCACGAAAAGTATTGTTTGAATCATCTCTGCTTTCTCTTGCTGAAATAGAAAATTGTAACCTCATTAGAGTGAAGGGCTTACATAATTTGAAACAAGATCCATATAAACGAAAAGAAACTTTTACAAAGCATACATTTCCTCCTCCCATCTGGGGAACTAGCGAGCTGGGTATGAGAACAGTTGTGCCAAGCATCACCAAGTAATGTTGGAAACCCAGTAATATAGCCTCAGCTGCAACGAGAACAATTCCAGTCAGGACAGCTATGCCATTGGACACCTATGCAGGTTGAATAACAATAAAAATAGGACAAGAATTGAATGCTTTAACAGTAAGCAAATGCGTCCTTGTCAAATTCACGAAAAAGCAAAACAGCTTTCAAGCTGAAGGGATTTGATAGCTAATGTGGTTTCTCAGAAATCAATGAACAGGAAAAAGAAGCAAAATAACATCACTCTCACCCTATTTTGGCAAAAAGATGAAACGGTAAAAGCAGAGGAAACAAACATTTGAAAATGGGTGCTCTTAAGAATTAGTGAAAAAAGCCAAGAAAAACAGAACCAAATATAATGAAACACATAGTCAATCTAGAGAACCAATAAAATGTTCAACAATAAAGAACCAAAACCAAGCGGCAACACGGAGTAAGAGAGAATAGTTTAGTAGAACTCACGCCAAGAAGGAGGGCTGGTTATGCAAAAAGAAATGTTGGGCAGTTGCTCCTTTACTGGATGAGGCTGCAGCTCCTCTTGCTTTGGGGGTGGTGCGTGTCCTCCACCAGCCATCTTCTGCTCAAACCTCTAAGGAACCTCCTTTAAACTTCGTAGTTAATCTTCACACGGGAAACACCCCCAAATCTCAAAAGGAATCCCAAGTTTTCCAATTTCTCAAAACGCAGATGTCCAAATATTCTCAACAACAACTTCCAGGACTAGTTAAGCTAAACCGAAACCAAAAAGGTTTTTGGGGATGATAGAAACCAAAGTAATCAAACTTCAAAAGAACTAAAATGACAATGGAAAACACCGCAGAGAAGTTAAAAAGAAGATGAGCATTTCTGTGAAAGAACTCTCCACTCTTGTCTCACCAAAGCATCATTACACCACTGAAGCAACAAAAGAAAAGCAAATAAATTTGAAAAGGGAGCAGAAAATGTGGTATTATCCTTAAACCCAAAAAACCCCCCACTTGGAGAGCCAGAAATACATAAGCAAGGGAGATAATGTGAAGGGCGTGAAGAGGAAAAAAGGCAAAAAGAGGAAGATGGAAACCAGAATTCCTCTCTCAGTTACTAAAAGGAATCTCTCTTCTAATGATTTCTTTTGATTTTCTAATGCTATTTTTTACAGAATAGTCTACTCTGAAGCCTGAACACTCTTTTCTCCAGTCAGGTAAAGAAAAAGCTTGTACAAAAGCATCTCTGCACCGTCACCTTTATCAATGCCATTTCTGCTCATCCTGCCATACACTAAATTTGTTTAAGTAAAGTAAAAGAAGCCAAAAAAGAAAGGTTAATTTAGATGAAATCAGGATGAATAATGCAAACCCAAATCAACAAGTTCCCTCCTCTGACCTTTCACACTCTTACCCAGTTGGGTCGTTAATTAAAACTCAAAAATGGGGTAATCTCCCCTTTTGCAAATTTCAAAGCCCTTTTTTTGATCAACAAGTTCCCCCCTTTCACACTCTTAACCAGTGCTCTGTCTCTGCGTGTCAATTGTCAGACGCATACACAAAACCACTACCACTCTGTCTCTGCGTGTCGTCATCATCATCTTGCAAAAGGGGTTGCTGGACACGTTACTTAGCCGTGTCGTCTATTTTGTCACCTTTGAAGTAGAATCCTTCAGACTCAAGTCGCACAAAGTTGGTTCCTTTTGTTATTTATAGTGTAGGAGGAAACAAGTAAAATACTTTATTGAAATTTCAAGTCGAATGCAAGAAATTTGGGTAAGAGATTAGGGAAAAGTGTTGGGTTGATGAGCTGGATGGTTCATTGCTCTTTCTTCTTTTGGTGAAGCATGACGGCGATTCATTGACGGTGTAAGAATGCATGTTATTTGTCAAAATAAATGACTATATAGAGTAGTAATTCATTTGAACCTTTGGCCGTAACGGCTGATCCTTCCACCTCGAGGTGCCACCCCACCGTCGTTACGCGTTTCCTCGTTGCATTTACTGGTTGGCATTCCATATTACGGTATGAAAAGAAAATCACAC